CCAAGGAGATAGTGAACTATTCAGGAACCAAAGACTTGCTGTTCACACTGCTTTAATGTCTTAAGACTTTAATATCTTGGTTAAGAGCAATGCCTCACAATATGGAAAGGGCTCCTAAATATGGTGAATGTCTTAGGTGCCCAGAGCAATGTTTAGGTGCCCAGAGCAAGACACTACCAAAGAGCCTATCGATTCTGGTACCCTAATAGTACACTATAATAATATAGTGTCTTAAATATTTGACATTGATGCTTTGTGGTAAACCTAACCAGCTCCTCTACACCAGGAATTTTTTTTAATTCTTTATTTTAAACACAACAGTTTCCAACCATTAAAAGTAGTAAAACAAGAGTAAAACAAAAAGGGCTATATCTGCACGATCACGGTACAAAGAAAGAATTTTAAGCAATTATAGACATATTGTCAGGTATCTAGGTATAACACAGTGTTCGAGGTAACCACTAAAGACAATGAGTTGGCAGCTACCATAGAAGACAAAAAAATTCTTGAAAACCATGAGTAAAGAGTTCTACCAAGATGATTCCAACAGTTGGGTAGCACCTCTACCATTTAGTAGCCAAAGAAAGAGACTACCAAACAACAGGGTACATGCAGAATCACGGTTTGTTTCTTTAAATTGCAATTTGAACCAGATGCCTGAGATTAAAAAGCACTTTGTGGACTTTATGCAGCAGGTGTTTTGAGAGAGATCATGCTGAGCCTGCACCTCCTCTTATGGAAGGAGAAGAATGTTGGTATCTACCATGCTTTGGTGTCTATCATCCTCGCAAGCCTGATCAGATTAGGGTGGTCTTTGACTCAAGTGCTCCTCATGAAGGTGTCTGCCTCAATGACAATCTTCTCACTGGGCCTAATCTGAACAACAATCTCATAGGAGTTTTACTTCGCTTCAGGCAAGAGCCAATTGCTGTTGTGGCTGATATTCAGCAGATGTTCCACTGTTTCATCATCCGTGAAGATTACAGAAACTTCCTCAGGTTCCGATGGTACCGCAATAATGTCGAATGAAGGTACATGTTTTCGGTAACAGTCCTTCTCCTGCAGTAGCAATTTATGGACTGAGGAAAAAAGCTCAAGAGGGTGAGAAAGAATTTGGATCTGATGCAAGACAGTTCGTCGAAAGGAATTTCTATGTAGACGTCAGACTCAAATCTCTGCCCAATGAAGAAGAAGCTATTGACCTTCTTACTAGAACCCAGAACATGCTTGCCACTGCAAACCTCAGACTTCACAAAATCATCTCTAACAGTGACAAGGTCTTGATAGCCTTTCCTTCTGATGACCATGCTGTCAGTGTGAAGAAATTCCAACTAGGATCTGACCTTTCTGTTACACAACGCAGTCTTGGATTGCTTTGGAATGTTAAACAAGACACATTCACATTTCAAGCATCAGCCTATGACAAGCCCTTCACAAAGCGAGGAGTTTTGTCTATAGTGTACAGCATTTATGATCCCTTAGGTTCCATTACACCTCTCACCAGTCAGGGTAAGATACTGCTGAGACAATTTACTTCTGAAAGCTCAGACTGGGATACCCCCTTACCCACGGAGAAACAACAAAGGTGGGAATCCTGGAAACAGTCTCTAAAAGCATTAGAACAGCTCCAGATACCACGCTCTTACACCCAAGCATCCTTAAAGAATGCCACCAGAAGAAAGATTCATGTCTTCTCTGATGCTTCCAACAAAGCCATTGCTGCAGTGGCTTAACTTCCAGCTACGGATCCCAGCGGTGAAGTGGGTGTAGGATTTATCATGGGCAAGACCAAGCTCACACCACAACCTGCACATACTATTCCAAGACTTGAACTTTGTGCAGCTGTGTTAGCTGTGGAAATTGCTGAGCTTATAGAACTTGAAACAGATGTTGAAATAGACTCCTTTGACTTTTATACAGACAGCAAAATAGTGCTAGGATATATACACAATCGCACAAGACAGTTCTACATGTATGTCGGCAACAGAGTGGAATGCATAAGGAAGTTCTCTATGCCTGAACAATGGCACTATGTTCCCACTAGCCACAACCCTGCTGACCACGGCAGTCGTGCAGTACCTACTACTGCATTTCTGGGCACATCTTGGCTATATCCACCAGTACTCTTGAATGATAAACTTATCTCAAGTTCAACAAATTCTACCTTTGAACTGGTTCATCCGGATTCTGATAAGGAAATCAGAGCTGTTACCATCACACTCAACACCTCTATGAAAGCAAGGGTAGGGCTGAGTCCTCACCATTTTGAACGCTTTTCTAAGTGTCCTGTTGTATGAGCCATTGCACACGCTTGTTCACATTGCTCATCAGTTTGCAAACAGCTCTAGCACTGAAAAAGTGTCACAAACTGAAAAAGTGTCACAACTGGCACATCTTTAAAGCCCCCCACCCACAACTGAGGAGGTCTTTCAAGCAGAAAGGGTCATTATTCAAATGTGTCCAACATGAAGTATACTCACAAGAGACTGCTACCATATATCAAAAGGACTCAACCTATCTAAGGATAGCTCTCTACAAATTAATTCCAATAATTGATCACAACAAGCTATTGCGAGTCGGTGGTCACATTGGAAAATCCCATTTTTCCAGTGAAGAGAGAAATCCCCTCATTATTCCAGGACGTCATCACATTACTGCTCTGTTAGTTAGACATTTCCATGAGCAAGTTCATCACCAAGGTCATCACTTTCCTGAGGGAGCAGTAAGGTCTGCAGGTTTCTGGATCATCGGATGAAAATGTATATATCATCCCATACTCCAAAAATGCGTTAAGTGTCAAAAACTAAGAGGGAAACACCTACAACAACAAATGGCAGAGTTGCCAGCTGACCGATTAAGTATTGAACCACTATTTACTAATGTTGACATGGACATATTTGGCCCCTGGACTGTTCTTACACGCAGAACTCGTGGCGGAGTTGCTAACAATACGTGATGGACTGTGCTGTTCACTAGCTTGAGCATTCGTGCAGTGCACATTGAAGTGATAGAATCAATGGACTCTTTTTGTTTCATTAATGCTTTAAGAAGATTTGTTCCTGTACGAGAACCTGTAAAGTTACTTAGATCTGACTGTGGGACTAATTCTACAGGAGCAGAAAAGATAGTGAATGGCAATAAGTGTAAATGGGAATTCGACCCACCTCATTCCTCTCACATGGGAGGCTCTTGGGAACACATGATTGGAGTTGAAAGAAAGATCCTGGACTCTATGCTACTGGACCAGAAAACACTTCTCAATTTACTCATGAAATCTTAGTCACTTTTCTTGCAGAAGTGTCTGCTATAATCAGTGCAAGGCCATTGGTCCCTGTGTCCTCAGATCCAGAGTTCCCAGTGTTGCTCACTCCAGCTACTCTTCTTACCCAAAAAACTGGGGTAGCTACTATTTCCACAGAGGAACTTGATTACCCTAACATTTACAAGCATCAATGGCGACGGGTACCTTTCTAACCTTCAAAGTCGTAATAAATGGCAAACTAGCAAACCCAATCTACAAGTGGGAGATGTAGTTCTTTTGAAGGAGACAGATTGCCATCATAACCAATGGCCCATGAACCTTATTACAAAGACTATGCCAAGTAACGATGGAAAGGTACACAAGGTAAAAGTTACTCCATGAAAGAAGGTTCTACACACCTTTATAAAGGAACTAGTACTTCTTTTGCCCAAAGAGGAAGACAAGTCGTCAACCTGAATTAAAGGGAGGTAAGGAGGAATGTGCATGTTGCTGCCTTCCCCTCTGAATATGGATTTCCATGTCTCAGCCTGGACTTTAGAGACCAACATCTTCAAGTATTATGCTAAATGTTTGCATTGTTTTCCTTTGTTCTTCCCTCTTGTTTTGCAGATGTTCCTGGAAAGAAACTTCTTTATTTATATTGGACTTGAACTAAAGTTTATTATAATAGAAATCATAGATTTCGACGGGGAATGTCATGTTTCACATGACTGTCATATGCCTTTAAGTGTTTCTATATTTTGTTTCTGCTCCTCCCTTTTCCTTTGGTTTAGTTAATGCTGTATAGATAGCCCTCCCCCTTTCCCAGAAATGCATTGCAGCTCTAGCCTCATGTCATGGAGCTGGAAACATTATGATCTTTTGACCTATCGAATGTTCATTGTTGTAAGATTCTCTCAGTTTATGGAATAAACTTCACAAGATCTACAAGATGTTTTTTTCGATTGAGTCACTGACTGTGGCATCCAACTGAGGTTGAAGTTATCGCTATCTTATCACAACTGTAAGTTACAAAGATCACACTATCAATGCTTAGATTGGAGAGACAGAACACAGATCTTCCTGAAACACTCACTTTCATGGTTGATGGGAGGCAACAAGATTTTCTATAGAGTAGAGGTCTTGAACCTTTCAAAATTATTCAAAGTATTTTAAAAGATAAACCAGTTTGAAGCCAGACACTTTCTAATTAGGATTTAGGAAAAGCATATTGCATGTGACACATTTAACCCAAATGTTGCATGCGATATGAAAAATGTCAATTCACCACAGGTTTATGTGGTATTTACCACAAAAATACTGCATAAACCTGCCTAAAAGTCAATTCACAAAAAAAGCAAACAAAATCATTTTTTAAATAAGTTTTGGTCTAGCCACACGCTATTTAAGAAATACTTGCTTGTTGTTAAGGAGCCAGTATCCACTGTCATCAGAGAATAGCTGGTTGTTAAAGTGTTACTAAACCCACAACAGTAAAATCAGTCTGTACATGCAATAAAACATATACTCACTGTGTAACCTAAGGGGTTAATCCTCCACATTGTGTAAAAAGGCTGTTTAATCCTGTCTTTTCTGATCCCTCCCTTCTTCTACTGTCCCCAATCCATCTGCTGATAGAATAGAGCCCTAGGAGTCACTGCACATGCTCAATTTGGTGTGCATTGCTTTGTTTGGGGTTTTTCTCTTTGGGAGGGTGTATGTGATCAGCACAGGGTCAATCAACACTGTCCATTTAGAGGGTCAGGGGTCATGCAGCCTCATAGGACAGTCAGAAGAGAATGCAAACTCCTCCTACAAGATTAACCAGTGTTCGACTTGACACTGATAGAAGTCACAAGACTGCTATATACTGCTGATGAGGAAAGGTAGTTAGCAGTTTATATTTACTAAAATAATTGCATTTCTATGTTCTCTGCACTGTGGGAGACCAGATATAGTGAATGCAGGGTCCTGGGTTTAGTAACACTTTAAGGAACTGGCACCTCCTGTGTCCTTAACAACCAGTGGCTCATTTGCTGTCAGCAGGGATTCCCTGCTGACGGCCAGAATTAGGCAGAATAAGAAAAAAAGGGTGGTTCCCCCCAGTCCATACCAGGCCCTTTGGGTCTAGTATGGAATGGGGGAGACCTCATGCCAAGTAAAAATAATGAGTGAGGTCCCCCCAAAATCTATACCATGACTGTATCCAAACTTGCAGACGAGCAGGCCAGGAAAGGGTGGGACGAGCATGCATCCCCACCTTCTGAACCATACCAGGCCACATGCCCTCACCATAGTGGGAGTGCTTTTCTGTGGGGAGGCCCAGCAATGCACCTTGTACCCCTGTTGATAAGGACAAGGGTCTCTTTCTCACAACCCTGACCCAGTGGTTGTGGGGGTGCAGAGGGGTGACTTATCAGAATCTGGAAGTCCCCTTTAACAAGAGGGCCCCCAGATCCCGAACACCCCCCATGTGAATGAGTATGGGGTAAATAGTACCCCTACTCACCCTACTGGTAAGGCCCCAGGGCTTGATGGCCTCCCGATGGACTTCTACAAGTCCCATTCAGAGCTTCTAGCTCCTATATTGACATCCTTCTATAAGGAATGTCTGCACACAGGCTCCTTACCTCCATCTATGCATGAGGTAAGTACTGCTTCATAAAACGGGCAAGGATCCCAAACTTTGTGCTTCATACAGCCCTATAGCACTTCTTAACAGTGACCTCAAAATCCTTACCAAGCTTTTATCCATTAGGCTGAATAAGGTGATAAAGTCAGTTATAGACTCAGACCAGACGGGTTTCATGCCAGGCAGATCCACAGATATTAACATCCGCCGTTTGTCCTCTAATATACATATCACTCACCTAAATGAGGGCACTAGGACTATAGCCACATTGGATATGGAGAAGGCCTTCAATACAGTGGAATGGGCTTACCTATGGGAGGTGTTGCATCTGATGGGTTTTCTTTTAAGGTTACAGACCCTATACTTGAACCCCCTGGCTAAGTTATGGGTGGGTGGCCTTCTCCCTACCTCCTTCCATTTACAACGGGGCACCAGACAGGGCTGGTCTCCGCGGTCCTCTTTGTTGTGGCGATGGAGCCTATAGCTGAGAGACTTTGGGTCTCTCCAGATATTATTGGCCTCCGGGTGGGATGGTTGGAAGAGAGAGTGGCCTTATATGATTACTGATATGTTCAGGTTTCCCATTCCTTCAGAGGCTCAGATCAAGCAATTTCCCTCTCCTACTCTGAGCTGGAATCCATCCTTCATGTATCAGATTTGAAAAAACCCACATCAGAACTCTACAGATACCTTCTTGTGGCAGCCAACCCTACGTCTGAAATGGAGGATGAATATCCCTAGTCTGGATGATGATCACTGGTCTGAGATTTGGGATTCTCCATTCTCTCCTCTAGTCTCTGCCAGAGATAAATTAATCCAATTTAAAATTCTACACAGGGCTTACTTTACTTCACATCGACTGCACAGAATGAATCCTTCCTTCTCTCCAGCATGTTGGCGATGTTCACATTAGGATGGTGAATTCTTTCATATTTTTTGGTCCTGTCCTGTTATTATGTCATATTGGCAGGGAGTATTACAAATAATTGGAGATATAGTGCAAATTACAGTCCCCCTTGACCCGAAGTATTGTTTGTTAGGGCTGGGGGAATCCGTAGATCCCGCTGTGGCCAAATGTATTCTTCTTGATACTCTGTTATTTTATACTTGCAAAACAATCACTTTGTGCTGGAAGTATCCATCTCCTCCTGCCGCTTCCTACTGGAAGCGATTAATAAACTCTACTTTGTCCCTTTATCAAACTACTTATGCTAATAGGGAATGCCCCCGCAAATTTCACAAAATGTGGTCCTGCTGGCTTGATGCTACCTCCACCGCCAATATGGCAGATGATTGTGGGAATTGAATTGCGTGAAGTTATTATTGTGTGTTTTCCTCATTTGAAACAGGTCCCTTCAGTGTTTTCTATGGTCTCTTCATCCAACTGTATTTGGTTAGGCCTTGCATGTCCTTGCATGTAACATCTCTTCCCCCCCCCCCCCCTCTGGGTTTTTTTTATTTTTAGTTATGTGTTAGACCTGTTGGGCCTGTGGCCCTGCTGCTGCGAGGGAAACTTTTGTTTAAATTCTTTGCAGTTTGTGTTTATTAACAAAATCAGTAAAACAGATAGAAAAAATAGTACCCCTACTCATTCTTACACTTCTGTAAGTAAAAACAGCACACCTGTCCTGAGCCCGATGTAAACCTGACATGAACCGTTGAACTACTGTGTCAATTAGCTGTGGAACCTGAGCTTCAATCCACACCACGTATGTGTGAATCAGCTCTTAGTGTGTAAAGTATCTCAGGACGTTTCGCAATTTAGTTGAAAACAACTTGAAAGATATATTCTGTTTATTTTGTATGAAATTAATGTTATGGTGAAAGAATAATCATCCAACCACAAGGACTTGTTCAAGAACTATACAAACTTTTAAGTTATAATGAAAGTTGTATCACCTCTTCACCGAGCAGCTGTAACCATTATGAAATAACATCTGTCTTGTTTCAGTTCTGTTGCAACATGGATCATGCTGTCCTTGAAAGATTCATTAGTTTATCAACAATGAAGGGGAAAGATATATTTTGACATTTCGAAGAGGAAATGAAAGTGAAATATAACAACATAATTGTCTAAAACCTGTCCCATCATTACCACCTACATGAGATAACATCATCAGATACAAAGGTCAACGTTCCAGCTAAAAAAAATGGCAGACAAGTAACCAAATACACTAGAAAGCACAGAAGAACAACAGTACATAGGAAATATGCATAGATGAAGGATGGAGCCAAACTCAGGCATAAATAGCAATTGCCAGAGACAATAAAAAAGGCATGATAAAATATCAAGCTGCTTAGGAATGATGAAGTAGGCTGGATCAGGACTGGTATAGGAGACAATGGTGGATGGTTAAAAGTACATAAAAAAAGTACAAGGGATGATCAAGGGAAGAGCAACCTGCAGAACCAAATATGTGTATAAAGACACAAGCCCAAAAACAAACATGAACTGCGTGTAAAATCACCAAATAAATATGTGAAAATTGTAGTGATTTTTGGACTATTTATTAAGGAAAATGATATTACCCAAAAAGAAAATTCTAAGCTGACTGTGATGGGTTAACTCATTGATTAACTTCAGGTGAACCCTGCAGGAAGCCACCATAAACAATGAGTGGAAGAGACCTGTTTAAAATACAATGGAGACCAAATACACTATTTGAGACTGGCAGATTCTCAAACACAAGGTACCATAAATTGACAATGGTGGGACTAAGTATTATTGACTTTGGTTTTCCCAAGACCTTTCAAGATGTGTGTTATCTAAGCAAGCACAATTGTCTATGGAAAGCCAGGAGGTCAACCTCAATTAAAGTCAATTGCAGGTCTCAAGGAAACTCATTTATAGTGAGACAAACATTTCACTAAAATCCAACTGGATGTGTACTCTAATTATCAAACAATAGTGCTAGTAACTAGATGCTTCCTATGCCATATCTCCATGAACTTTGCATTCAGCCCATGAGGAAAGACTTGGTTCAGTTAATATATTACAAAAATAGCTTGGCATATATCTAAACTGAAATATTATCAAAGGTATATACCAACACACCAAGGTCCCTTTACCAAAGTTGGGTACTGCATATCACTCAACTGAATATCATGAAGTTAGCGGATATAAGATGGTTTGTGAGCTGGGTAAATTACATAACTCAAAATAAAGATACAACAACATCTACATCAAGACGGAGAGAGAGAGATGGTATAAATCATCTGATAAATGGGAATTAAGCACACAAGATAATACCATAACAAATTAGGACATCATTATACAGAGAGCCACCATTTCAAAACAAAAATCAGCAATCAAAATACAGCTCATATCAGAAGATGAAACACCAAATCTATTTGCATATTTCTATGGTACTTATTCAAGAGATATTGGAGTAAAGTCATTTATACCTTAATAGGACCCATATATTCTATCTATAAAGATATACTTTTTATATCAAGGTGGAGTCATCATTAAGATCACCTGTTCATTCGTGATAGCTGACTGTCCCCGGTGGACAGGTAAGGAACGTCTAAGTCACACAAACTTCTAAACCGTCCAATCAACAAGCCCTTTGGGAGGTCCTTCAGAACAAAGGACTTGAACGGTATAAAAGATGTCACACACTTCATACTATAATTTATATACGGCTTCTACTAATATACTCTACTACTACTATATATACTTCACCTCTTCAGACTATATACTATATACTTCACTTTTCAATCCTCGTACTATACTCGCTTGCTACCTGCTATCTGCGGCCATCTTGCTGAGAACTTTCAGCTCCCATTTTATTTTTGAAGGCCATTTTGAAGGAAAAGACTTTCGCCAGAGACTCTGCTGCTGATCCAAATTCTGGTGCCTGACTGACCAGAAACATTTTTTTTTTGCCCAACTGCATCCCACTGGGAGACCTCAAAAATCGAAATTCTGGGAGTAGTGAGACTGTGCCAAAATACTGTAGTTTTCTTTTATATTTAAAACTTATTAAGATATATAACATTTTATTGTGTGGTTAGGATAGTGTACGAAGGTTATCTGAATAATTATTAATATAACTTTTTGAGTATTGATACTGAGATCATATACTGTATACTAACTATTTGTAGTGTTTTTGCGGTGCTAATTATCAGAGATA